CATCTTTTATGTATCTGAATACCTTACTCAAAAGGTAATAACTTACATCCAGACTTTTAGATCTCCTATCCATTCTGGAAATATGAACATCTTAATCTTCATATATGTCTTTCTTTAATGAACAGATTTCCTTTTTTACATCTTTCTCACATTTTCTCTTAGTATGATGAGACATAAATAACATTGTTAAATAAATTTACCATTTGCTGTGAGGACGATTTAATGGGGTGCTAAGCAGTGTCTCTCCTCACAACAGTTTCTAATGGCAAGAAATATTTGATTTCATAAAACTTAACAATAAACCAATTGTAAAAATTAAGGTAGAGCTGGAATTTCTTAGAACAGATAAAATAAACCACATAAGAAGATTTTGACCAGTATAATATGAATCGGTAACATCTGAGAAAACAACACCATTTTATATTCCAACTTGAATTACATGAGATTAAACTAAACTATTTTCAAATGGAATCCCCAAATTTGTATTGGTTTAAAATTTTTTTCCATTGTACCTAAAGTGATAAGTAAATTCTCTATTGTCTTAAGACTAAGGAGGGAAATGGCTTGCATCTTACATTTGAGGGTGAGGCACGCTTAAGTGTGGATTCCAAAATTCTGTGGGGATTTTTTGATTTGATTACAGTTATATGATAAGTAAATCACGAGTTTTCTTAAGGGTATGGAGGGAACTGGTCTGCCCCTTATCATTTTAGGGAAGGAAAGCTTAAGGATGGCTCCCCTTCTGTGGCCTGAATCTTTAGTAGGTGGTTCCCCTCAAGTATATTGTTAGTAGTGAGACGGTGATTTCTTTACCCAATTTTACTATAAAATATTTGCATAATGAAATAAGTAATGATGGCTTCTGTTAGTACTATTTTATACCTTGCGACAAAGCACTTTTGCTGCTTCTGCAGGATCAATGTTCAAATCCTGCCTTAAGCACAATGCCTGTTTCTGTGTCGTGTGAAGAAAATTTTGCTGTTCGTAATCAAACATTTCAGAGATTCTGCAAATACTATAAATGCACACTCCTGATAAAGAATTAGAAATTCAAAATATTACAGTGAGAAAAGACAACACAAATGATGACCCAGTGTCAAAATGAGTAAGACATCTTCCAAACTGCAGTTTGCATGCTTTGAATACCTTGGATACTAGGTTGGTTGACAAGCTCATTTTAAGATGAAATGATGGACTGTTCGGGGTCATTGCAGTTTCCCTGAGCACTGAGACAGACTCAGCAGGGCCCTGGGCTCACACACTGCCCAGTCTGCCAGGGTGCCTGACTAGGGAGAGCAGCTGCAGCCAGGAGCTGATGGAGCTTGGAGAAGCCAGGCTCCTCCTGCATGCAGCGGCTGGAGCTTCCTCTCATCAGTGACTCGCTTTCTTCTCAGATGTTGTTCCTTGTGTTTCCACTCACATGCAGTGCAGTCCTCCCACTGGTGCTGTGTATATGATCGATCATCAGTAGTTCCAAAATAAATTAAACCCAAGAAAACTAAATAGGCTTCGCACAAGCCTTTGGTTTGGCTACAGGTGGGGGGCGGGGAGGTAAACGTCAGTATGAAGATTACCGGTGTGGAGAGGGAATGGGGTCCTCGGGCAGCCTGCATGGTGGCCAGGGCCCGTCTGTGCATCCCCAGCTCACGTGACCACACGGTGAGTAGCAGCCTGTGTCACACCTTTCCCACTGAGCTCTCAAGCAAAGGAGTAGTTGACTACATTTAGCAGAGAGCTTTTGATGTTTCATCCCAATGGTCAAGTGGACACATTTCATCCGTATTATGGGATATTGCTAAAAACATTTACACCCTCTCCTCCCAGCATCCTCCACTTTGGCCACTCTTCTTCTGGGGCTCCTCACCCTTATCTCCCCTGAGGGCACCGAGCATGCCACCAGCCCGCTGGCACAGTGAAAGCACCTGACTCTGGACAGTCCCATAGGGTCAAACTGTTGTCCTAGGAGTGAGTGGAGCGTCCCAAAGAGACCGGCCTTACCATTGCTCATGATAGCTTCCCACACACTGGGGAAGTATGTCAGTATGAGATCCCTGTATAGCAGTGCCCAGAAAGTGACAGATTCCTGCAGAAGCTCACCGAGTCGCAGCTTGTTTCATTGCGGGTTTTATGAACTCCCTTGACGTCCAGAGACTCTGTTCTGCCGCAAATCAAAGGTCTGAAGGAGGCATGTGCCTCATGGTGTTCAGAGCACATTGAGTGCCAACCTCGATCCCAGCGATACTTAGAGAATGACGGGAGAAGTCAGCTGTGTACAACATGACCTTGGCAGGTTGAACAGGATGGTCAGGGAGCTGCTGTGACAGATAGCTCTGGAGATTACTGGAACCACAGGTGTCCCAGGGCTCTGAGGTTGAACTTGGGTTCACAGACATGTGAGACAGAACTTTTCCTGTGAAGCCAGACTCATTTGTCTGTTATGCTATTCATGTTTTGTGGTTTGGTTTCTCATGGTTTGTCTGTTTTTGAGTCAGGGTCTCCTTGTATCCCCAGCTGGCCTGGAAGTCAATTTTTCGACCAGGCTGGCCTTATTTCTTTTTAAATGAATTTTCGAAGATGGTACCTGATGCCTTGCAGTAATCCACTGATTCTGTTCAAGGGCAAAGGTAAAATCGTAAGGGAGAGGCTGCTCAGAGACAGGAAATGGCTCTCCCGATTCTCAAAGCCCTATCCCTTCGAGGATATTACGCCGTTGGAGTTCCTTATGCACTAGAAACTGAAAGGAGACACGTGCAGCCAGGAAAGATGGGATGGTCTCCAAAGGTGAGTGCATGCTGAGCAGCAGTTGCCCAAAGGGCCGAGACCCCTGCCATTTCTCAGTGCCAAGACACAAGCCATTAAAATGCGAAGGTTCCTTGGGATCATCCCAGGATCTGCACTTGCATGTGTGGACCAGTGAGTGATGGAACTCAGTGTGCAGGCTTCTTGGCCGGAGAGTGTGCTCAGGTGGCCTGTACTCATGACCCCTCTTTGGGTTTGTACATGTGCAGGGAGGTATGGGGCCAAGGCACCAGCCAGGTGGCTCTGAGGACAGCACATGAGGAGAACCTGAGGGTTGGGGCTGAAAATTCTGTGAAGAAAGGCATGAACCCTGGAAAAGGTCAGAAGATCTTCATGACCATTGCTTGCTGGGTGATTTCGCTTCTCAGGGATGCAGAGCACAGATTTTAGACCTAGAAATTCAAGGTCCTAAGAAAGAATGAAGGAGGTAAACAGATGTGTTCGTCTCATAGTCCCAAGGTATTTATTAAAAGCCTAGCAGACAGTAGAAACCAGTCATCAAGAGGGCCTCCATAATGTCACATCCTGGGGTAAGGGATGGCATGACCTGGCTACAGGTTCCCAGTAATCAGTTGATGGCCATTAATTTGGGTTTAAACAGAATAAAATTTTAGGTTTTTCCCCAAAAATACTTGCATTCATAATATTTGTCTTTTACCCCTGGACTTGCTTGCTAAACTGGGGGAACAGAGTCACACCACATGTCTCCTTTATACTTTCAATCATTATTTAGTTAATTAACTTACAGTGAGATGAGAGTATCAGATGTGCGTACAAGGAAGAATGGAGGGGTTCTCACGCCCGTGTTCCTCAGACATAGCGGTGGCCCTGATATCAGGGACAGCAACAGCTGGGATCGGCTTTCCCCAAGGGCTGAGTGGTCAGGGTCTTCCTTCCTGTGCAGTGTCTTGGCAAGGAGGGAGCACCCAGGTCCTGGTGCTTACCAGGTGCCCCTTCATTATGAAAATACCTCACTATGGGGTCCAGTCCATTGATCAGCATCATTCTCTTGCAGCCTGGCTTCTTACACACTTCCTTTGTTTTCCTATAGACTCTCACCCTGGTCTTTTTAATCTCCCCCTCCTCCCTCTCTCCCATCCCCAAACTCCTGTGGACAGCCACATCCTTACAGTTCCTCTTAATACTGGATCTTACCCTCATTTGTCAGAACTCCTAGGGACTTCATAGTCCAATGACGTCTCCTGGTGGACACTGAATTGTATTCTGAGAATACACAAGTGAGTGCCTTTCTACCCATAAATGGTAAATGGCTGTGGGATAATGGGCTGACTATATTTAGTATTTAGCTGACATGTGTAAAGTACAGTTCCTTAAGTGTGTGTGTGTGCATATACATGCGTGACTACATACATGTCTGCAAATGACCCTTGGAAAGGGGGTGTCAGAGGCTTCATGAAGGCGTCACAATTAAAGCTTACGAATGGCCCTCGGCAGCTTCACCAGCAGTGCCTGGGGCAGGCCCGCCAAACTACATTCTTCATAGAAATCCTCATCTCCTGACCTTGGCTATAGAAGTCATTCTTTTCAAATCTGTAGGACCGGCTAGGATACAGGGAGGTGGAGGATTGGGCTGCCTGGTAGCCACAAGCCGCAGTTCACCCAGTGACCCACTGGAAGGGAAGAGGTCAAGGGAACGATATGGACCGAGCCTGTGCACTTAGCTGTCCACAGACCCTATCTGTGACTATAATTTCCCTCACTGTTGGACTCACAATGCAGGTAGGTTCAGCCCATGTTGGAGGAGCAGGGCAGGGCTTGGGGGAGGGAAGTGATTGTGGATAATGAAACAGAAGTTAGAGTAATTTAAGTTTTTTTAAATACTTTTTAATTTAAGGACTGTTCTCACTCCAGGAGGCATCATCTGGGACTCCCCACAGAGAAGTGGGCCATGGATTCTAAAGACTTGGGACACTGAAGGACAAAGGTAATGCTGTGCATGCTGAGGTACAATTGGTGTTGGTGATGACGCCTTGTGAGTGTTGACCTAGGGCATGGGCCTGGAGGTCAGGAGACAGGACTGTGAGTGGTAAAGTATGAAGACGGGCAGAGCTTTGGATCCTGATGTGATGAAGCTCTGGGCCACTGGAAGAGAAGGATGGGGCTGTGAATACTGAGGTAGGAGTGATGGGTGTGGCTGTGCATGGTGACACAGAGCTTGGAATTTCAGTGGTGAGTGGTTGTAGCCACCTCTCTTGTCCCTTAGGAACAATGATGCTTGGCTCACGAACACACAGGCACACGGACACACACAGACACACACAGACACACACACACACACACACACACACACCACACACACACACACACACACAAACACATACTATGGAAGACTTTCATGCATTCTCAACCTTGGGCAAGTCACCATGGCCTTGAGCGAGTCAAGCTGTCTCCTGACTCTAGCCATAAGTAAATTCTTGCGTGTTTCGCATTGTTTAAGTATTATTCTTGAGGGAACTCTGTATGAACTCTGTACACTGAGCCATTCTAATCAAAGCTTCTCAGGATGCTATTAAAGGCACTCCTGTGCAGCAGAGCCTGGAGTCACTTGGTCCTGTTGAGCCTCTTTGAACTCTAGTTCATTATCAAATTTTGATATTAGACGTGAAACATAACTTTAGAGCTTGACTTGATTTTTATGTACACTTTATTGAATTTTGTGCATTCCATATAATAGGTCTTAATCAAATTTGGGAGTCCTCCACCATTCACACCCCCATAGGCTTCACCCCACACTGGATTTTATTCATTCTGTCATATGTGTTAAGGCCTACCAGTCAAGCATTTGTACCCGATTTCCCTTGGTGCAAGTTCACCCACTGGAGTCTCGTCAGCCTATCTAGAGTCACTCCTTTAGAGAAGATGAGCTTTCCCTCACCCCCAGTAATCAGTTGCCAGTAGTTCCTTGGGTAAGGCTGAGGCCCGCTGCCCGTTTCCCCAGTTCTATGCTGTTCTTTTGTCTGATCGAGTCAGCATTTGGGAAGCATCTACAGGAGGAGCAGTGTGGGACAACTGGGGATGAGTTGTGCCAGGGTTTACCTAGAAGAGGTTCTGGGATGAGATTTGAGTCCTGGGATCAGGTCTATGGACACAGGGCTATGAGAGGAGCCATTCTGAGCTGTGACCAACAACTTAAGAGATGGGGACTGGCTGGTACTGTAGAGTCAGATTTTGAGTGCTGAGCTATAAATTATTAGAGAAAGTAAATGATGGACAGGGAATATGGAGTTAGGTGTTAGGGGCAGGGCTGTGTGCCTTGACATTATGTTTTGGGCCAAATAAGTACCAAGGTAGGGCTGTATGGGAAGAGATAGGAATTGGGGACATGGCTATGAGTCTTGACCCAGGGGGCAGGAACACTGGAGTACCAGGGTGGGACTGTGACTGTTTGTGTCTGGAATGGGAACTGAGCTGTGAGTCCTGACATAATCCATAATCCGGGAAGGGCTGCAGAAGGAGCTGCACAAGGTTGTTAGTGGCAGAGTGGGGCAGGACTGGGAGAAGTGCAGCGCAGAGCTGTGAGTCCTAAGGGAAGGTATTCTGAGCGGGGCTGCAGGAAGAGCAGAGCAGAACTGTGAGGGCTGAGGTGGGAGTCGGGGCAGTGTGCTGCTATGGAGATATGGGCGTGGCTGTGGGAGGAGATTGGTACTGGGAGAAGTGCAGCGCAGAGCTGTGAGTCCTAAGGGAAGGTATTCTGAGAGGGGCTGCAGGAAGAGCAGAGCAGAACTGTGAGGGCTGAGGTGGGAGTGGGGGCAGTGTGCTGCTATGGAGATATGGGCGTGGCTGTGGGAGGAGATTGGCAGGGCAGGGTTATTTAGGTATGAGCTAGAGGCTTCTGGGAGGAACTGGAACTTGTGGAAGGCACTGAGAGCTCGTGAGACGATTTCTTATGCAAGAGGCAAAATAGACCAGGCAGCATTCATCGAGGATCTAGCCAGATTCTGAGGGTTGGGGTAAGTCTGGGTTGGTGTTGGGTGTCTGTCCACACTTCTCATCTCCATCTCTACCTGGAGGGTGAAGGACACCTGTATCTTAAAGACAGGTTCAATTTCCACTGTTCTGGTGAACCACAGGCCGAGATCCTGTAGTCTTGTGTCAGTGGGGTTTTCACCAAAACTTAAAAAAAAAATAAACCTTAACCCTCAACAGTGACAGTTTCTCCATTTGATGAGATAACAACCAGTAAGGTAATGTCATTGCTCGCCCATGCTCTGCAGAGATAGCTCCTGCTCCCAGAGAATAATAGAACATATTTGAATACTGCATTGTAAAATCTTAGGTGATGTTCTGGAGAGATGGCTCAGCAGTTGAGAGCACCGACTGCTCTTGCTGAGGACCTAGATTCTCTTCCTAGCCCCTATGTGGCAGAAGCAAATAGGAGAAGCTAACTTTTGATTTCCTGAAAAACGACGTGCTGGAAATACTGTGAACATGTCAAATTTATGTTCTGGGTGGTAAAGAAAGGCTTCTGGGTCTCTGAGATGTCAGGCCCTTGATACAGGACTCCTCTTTGTTTCCCCCATGTTCTCAGCCCCACAGGGCCCTGGGTACCAGGCCAGGCATCAGTAGCCCAGCCTTTTGTCTTGGACCTCTCTGCTCTAGAGCCTTGTTTTCCCGGTCTTCAAGAAACAAATCAAAGTGCAATGAGACACTGTTAAAAGAGTCTGGTATTCTTTAGTAGGCCTCGGGTCCTAGACTCCATTCTGAGCCTCTTACCTAACAATGCTGTGTTCCAGTTATATCACTATTGTGAAATTTTTAGTAGTCAGTTCAGATAAGTACAATAAAGAAAAGAGAGATTTAATCACGTGTTTTGTATTTACCAGGTTGTATCTAAATATCATTTTTAGATATAAGCTAATATAGAATGATTCTTTATATGCTCTCCCTCTGTGCTAGACCTTACAAACTGGTGTATTATTTATCTTAACTACGTCTCACTT